CTTCAGAATTCAAACTCCATTCGTTCCCCCAAATTCGAATTGTACCAAATTTAGTACCGTTTAGTACTTTTCGTATATATGAGAACATACTTCTAAAAGTACCTCCTTACATCGACCCTACATTCATTACACACTCCATCAGTGACCCCCATTTCAAAGAGAGTTCTAGTCCTACAGGTTCGTCAAATACAAAGTATACCATGTTTAGTATATTTTAGTACTTTCCGTACCGTTTTAGTACGAATTTCAAAATCCCAGCCTTATCTTATCTGATACCTTCGGACCAAGAGTAACCCTCACCTAAGATTTGAAGATTCTAGCTTCAGCCGTTTCATATCGGCGTTGATGAATCATTAAGTCAGTCAGTCAATCACTTTACTCTTTTATTAACATAGATTTCCATTTAGCTTAGATCGAAACTTTCACGAAAACCGAAAAACGACTGACCCTAATAATATCCAATTTTCAAGTCACAATTTTCTGCAAACAGCACCCACTGGCATAGTTGCAACAATTTTATTAAATTCTAAAGCAAAACAAATGAACCTAACCTCTGAATGCTATTGGCAATGTCGATAAATGTCAGAACATGAACAAAATTGAAACTATAAAAGTGCCATAAAATACTCACACACACCGTGACACATTGAACTAATTAATTAACACGGCTAAACAATTGCGAATGCGATGCGACTCGCACTGGCATCGAACAATGCGAGAATGACCCCAAATGAAAGGTGGGCAAAGCGTAGGCGAGGAGGGGCAATCAATTATTTACCCCATTTCACACACATATTCGAGAAACCACACACTATGAACAAGGGAGGTAGGATGAGAAAAAGTGAGCGAGTGAGAGAGGGAGGTAATGGGTCAATTATGTGAACAAGTGACACAACATGTGTTGGTCCCATGTCACTGTACCATCTGCACGATGATGATGATGACCCAACAACAAGATTCTCTCATCTCATCAACACGTTATCGCCAGGCGTCAACTATATTGTCGTGTATAAGAAGTTCAGGATCGAAGGACCACAATTGTGTATTAATTGAGACAAGTTGAATGATGTCGGGTCAAACTTTGTATAGAAATATTTGCATGAATGGCAATGTGTGTGTGTATGTCAATATGTTTCCATGATGTATGGTATGTGAGGTACGTGCATCAATCAAAGAGGAGGGCGCTGGGTCAGCTGTTTGTCGGAAAACTATGGGAAGTTGTTGCTGGCTGCTGTTGTTGGCGTTTCTTGTTGGGGAAGGCAACGATTGAAAGCATTTGATAACAGCTGGTGACAGCAAAGCGAAGAGACATCAACAAAAGAAAACAAAATAGAAAAATCGAACTTAAAAATGACACAAAACTGTAGCTGCCAATGATAGCGATAATGGTGACAACGATGCTATTGAATGGGGGAAAGAAAACTCAAAAACCCCAATAGAAATGTGTAGAAATAAACAAACAAATCAAAAAAATCGGATACCAGCAATTCAATAGATGACTTATTTGAAGGGAATGCAAAGATGACGACAGGGCACAGTGTTTCGAAACGGTTTTGATAGCTTTTGGTTCCCATAATATATTGCCATAACATTTTCATATTAATATCCATTAAACAAATATCCAATAAATATTTCAAAGGGTGAGCATACAGGGTGAGATGAAAAAACTGTAACCAAACCAGACTGCTGTCATTTCGAAGCCACTCGTCCGACAGCTGTTAAAATAATTCCAGTGACAAGCGTATAAAAGCATTTTGGTGAGAATTTTCCAGAAAAAAAGCTATTCGTGATGGAATTCAAGCGTGATAGTCTGATTTCTTTATATTTGGCTGGAAAACCACAAGTGGCTATCGTTAGAGCACTCCAGCATTTAAATGTGAATAAATCTTTTGTGTCTCGTACCATCGCCCGTTACCGTGATACTCGTAGCGTAGCCTGACGTCAAGGAAGTGGACGGAAGAAAACAGCAACATCAGCAGAAATGGTTCGAAAAGTAAAGAAGCGACTTGATCGAAACCTGCGTCGCAGTGCCTCGTGAGCTCAACATATCGCAATATTTCAAATATTGAAAAATGAGTTCGGGGTAAAGCCATTGTAATTCCAAAAAGTGCAAGAACTTACACCGCAAGAAAAAGAATATGTACTCAAAAAAGCTAAGGAGTTGCTTCACTTGGCCGAAAGTGAAAGTGAAGCGCCGAATTTGGTTTTCTCCGATGAAAAAACATTCGTTGTCCAGCAGTTTTGTGAACAAACAAAATGATCGTGTTTACTTGTCAAAGAGGTCAGCTGAAAATGTGCACCTTCGGTTGGCCACCAGAACTCAAGCGCCGGCCATGGTGATGGTGTGGGCAGCCATAACAGCGGATGGTCGCTCTCCGCTCGTATTAATCGACCGTGGCATCAGAATAATACCGCGAGGGTGTATTAAAGCCTTGGACATTCCAACAGGACCCAGGATTGGTAACAAAATGAAGTTCCTCTCTTCATTTCCAGGGCACAATGGCCACCAAGGTCTCCGGATACTAATCCGATGGACTTTGTGTCTGGGGTATTTTGGAAAGCAAGGTTGGCACTAAAAATACCAAAGGGTCGATCACCTCAAGCAAGCGCTTCGCCGGGAATGGGCTAAAATACTGCAGAGCAACATTCGGGCAGCGTGTGACGGTTTCATTGGCCGTTTGAAGGCTATAATTCATGCCAAAGGTGACCAATTCGAACAAATCTAGATTCATTCTATAATTTAATACTATTTCCGTCACTTTTTGTTTTCATTCAATAAAATTTAAAAAATAATGTAAAAATTATGGCGTTTGACTTTGTTGCAGTTTTTTCATCTCACCCTGTATATTTAGAGGTTGAAATGGACTAAAAATATTATTTTTTTTTTAATTTTTGTAGTCGCTCTAATTTTGCATTAAAATAGAATTAAGGACAGGGAAGAAGTCCAGCATTTTGGATGACCATTGGTTTATATTTAGCTGCTAAATGGACCACAACTTTAGTGTGAATTTTTTCAAATACCTAACAAAACGACGGAGTGCGCAAATATTGGCCAAATTCCCCGGGTCAAAAACCTTAGGGTAACATCTGGGCAGGGCTCTTTGACGAAATCTTCCAAAATGGATTTGAATAGAATGGGGCTTGGAACATATTGTAGCGTTGTAGGGTATCACATGTTCGGCCCCGCTCGACTATAGCCTTTGCTCACTTGTTTTAGTATGCATTTCCAAAAGCACCACTTTTTTAATCCTGTAAACCAATAAAAAACCTATATACCAACATTTCAAAATTCCAGCTCTATCCCTTCACTCAAAGCTATATTGTACTGTATTTAGTACCATTAAGTACAGTTATTTCACTTAGCACACATTTACAAAAAAATCTCTAGTTTCTGTTTCTGCCGTTCACATATTTCCAAATGATACCAAATTAAGTGAATTTTAGTACATTTGGTACACTTATGATTCGAGTTTCGATATTCGATATTCCATGATTAAGATTTCCAACTCCATTTTTTCCCCAAATACCAAATTCAATACGTTTCATACTTTTTTACTACATATTTCCAAAATCATCTCCATATTTTAACCCCAACTCACATTGAGTTTCCAAAAAATCTTAAAATCCTAAATCTTACACAACAAAAAATATCCTGATTCCAAATTTTGGATTTCCAACTATATTCCTTCCCCAAATATTAAATTTAATATCATATATAGTACTTTTCGTACGTCTTTCCTCACAAAAAGTGACCTCAAAATTAAATTTTATATTTAGTACTTTTCGTACTTTTTAAGTACCTTTTCCCAAAACCACTTTCTATTCACAATCTTACACTCTAACATTGACCCCAAAATCAACATTTCAAATTTCCGGCTTCATCCATCCCCAAACCCAAATTGTACCAAATTTTTTACGTTTTTGTACAGTTCTTATACTTAGTACATTTTTTCAAACCCAATTCCGTATATCAACTACTTCCCAAACTTATTTCTTATGCCAAATGGTACCAAATGTAGTGATTCTTAGTCCAATAATAATTCGAATTTCCAAAAAAAAACTTTCAATACATCTTCCTACACAGCATCGGTGACCCTCATTTCATCTTTCAGAATATCAACTGTATCCATTCGGCTAATAAAATGAATTAAATTTTTCGTACACTTATAGTTCGCATTTCCAAGAACTCAGTCTTAAATTACTACTACACGCCAACATTGAACATTTCAAGATTTTAGCTTCAGCAATTTCGCCTGGGAGTTGATGAATTAGTCATTCGCTCATTACTCTACTCTTTTATATACATAAATTAGTTTTACCCAGAGCTCAGATTTGTTCCTTTTTACTCGCGAGCGAAACATACTGGAGAGAGAATGCTTGAAGAGAAGGAGTTTTACATGAAAATAACTCTACACCCTGTTGTTTCATGTGGGAACGTTAGTGAATTACGCCCCGTCGAAAAATAGGAGCGAGAGTAAAAATGTTCGAAATAGATTGGCTTCAGTGCTCTTAATCGCGTTTGGTGTTGGTTCGTAGAATGTGCTCGATTACTAGCAGATTTTACTCTCTTTGGAAATCGTAAATGCCTACACGCTCTTATTCTAGTGGCATTGAAACGTAGGCTACTCTTGATTCCTTTACACTTCGAGGAGTACTCCTGCTCGAATTCGAGTAGGGAGTGAAATTCGCTCAAAATTATGATCCAAACTAGCTCTCCCTAGTCTTTATGTATTTTAGAAATTTGTCCTAATATTAAAAAAAATATAAAAAAAAAACTATTTTTTCCGATACATTTGAAACACTGTGCCCGTCATGTCAATGACATTTACCTAAATGAACAAAAACAAAAACTTTATGAATATAAATATGAAATACAATACGTTTTGTATATATGACCCCATATTCGGGTGACAGAGAATAACTCTGAATACCTTTCCACCCAACCATATCCTATTATTTTCCCAAACTTTTTTCGCAAGTTCTATTCATGCAGGACTTACCAAGGGTTCATTACTTTTAACCAATTGAACAATTTTAATGGTCTCCTCATCTTCATCCATTTCTATGGGTAAATCGGGAAGATGTGGATAGAAGTCCTTTTGAGCAATGGCATCGTGGGCATAAAGAAGACTCTAGAAGGTATGGAATAAAAACAAAAACATAAAATAAATGGAAAACGAAAATCGAAGGGCACATTAATTAAAACGAAAAATCTTGTGGAAAGCCAAAACACTCACATGTAAATGCGGTTTCTGTAGTAGATGAAATGCCTCGCGGCAATCCTCGTTCAGGTGACATTGCTGTGATAATTGTTCCAGTACTTCACACATTATCTACTCAAAGTAAGGGACGAGAGAGAGAGGGAGAGAAAAACAAATTTCTCATTAATTTAAAGAAAAAGGGGCGACATCTTTTTTTTCAAATTCCTACCATCCCTGATGTTGATAGAATGGGTGCCAGGCGATCATCCTTCCCCACCTTGGCCACTTTACTGTGGACGTTGACCAAAGCATTCAATTCTTTGGACTCCAGCAGCGTCTGCAGAAAATCAATTTCTTGGTCATTGGAAAGACTTTCAGCTTCTTTAAGCGATGCTATCAGCTTGGAAAGAGCTGTAATTGTAAAAAAGGGAAGGTATTGTATATATGTTAGGGGTGTTTGGTGCTGTCACTTACCCGGATCCCAGTGTGTATCATTTGCTGCCATAACTTCAGCTGTCATAATTCATAAAAATGACGGCAGGGAATTTTTACAAAAATTAGTCTACGTCTACTTGGGGCGTTCAATGTTATCTGGAAATAAGAAGGGAGAATGAATTATTTCAGAGGTGTCAAGTATTGTCATAGAACGACATATTAAACATATAATCGTTAATTTTTAATAGAATATTTCCGACGGACTGTCAGGAAGATTTTAAAATATATATTCTGCAAGGACTTTTAAGGAATATTTCTTTAAACACTAATACTACAAGATTGATTTGGCCAAAAATTATGTAACACCTCGAAATATTGGTTCTGCACATAAGAATGTATATATGGATCTTTCTACCTCGCCAAGCTGAGTCGATTTAGGTACGTATGTTCATCCGTTCGTCAGTCCATCTGAACATGCTAATTTGTAATCACGCTACAGGTCGCAATTATGATTCAATCCTCACAAAATTTTGCACGGAGGTGTGGTTATGGTCAGTATAGAAGCCTATTGCAGGAAGGTGATTGCAAAATATTTAGGGGTTGAGTGGTCGCAATTATAGACCAATCGACACGAAATTTAACATGGAGCTAGAGTTTTGGGCTACCAATTTGGATGGTCATCCGATAATATTTAGCGGGTAAAATAGACCACAATTATTGTGAAAAAATAGGAAAATTCCCGTTATCCAATATATGATATGTCAAATATAGCAAAATATATACAATCACATATATCAACGAAGTGGATGATAGTTAGACCGCCTGTAATTTAAGAACGGCTGGTCGGATTTTGAAAATTCGTACCAATTCAGAATGGCCTGTTGGCAGAAAAGAATAAAATCCAGAAAAAAGGTGCTAATAAAAATGTGAATATTTTTCCTTATTATTTTGTGATATTTATACCCTACACCATACTGCGGTCAGGGTACTATGTCTTTGTGCATTTGTTTGTAACATAGAGAAGGAAGTTATTCGTGATGGAATTCAAGCGTGATAGTGTGATTTCTTCATATTTGGCTGGAAAATCACAAGTGGCTATCGTTAGAGCACTCCAGAATTTAAATGTGAATAAAACTTTTATGTCTCGTACCATCGCTCGTTACCGTGACACTGGTAGCGTAGCCCGACGTCAAGGAAGTAGACGGAAGAAAACAGCAACATCAGCAGAAATAGTTCGCGTCGCAGTCCGCGTCGCAGTGACCGAAAAATGTCTTCTGAGCTGAACATATCGCAATATTCCATTCGGCAAATATTGAAATAATGAGCTCGGGCTAAAGCCATTGAAATTCCAAAAAGTGCAAGAACTTACATCGCAACAGAAATAAAATAGACTCAAAATTGCTAAAGAGTTGAAAAGAGCTGAATTTTAAACTTTTCAAGGTAACAACCAGAGTTACAATCTACTTTTTATGAAACTACAGTCAGGAATTAAAAAATAAAAAAATATAAGAAGAACTGTCGGATATCTATCTAATTATACCCTCCACCTTGAAAAGGAGGGTATATTACGTTTAACATCCCTAAATATTCGTCGTAGACCCCATAATGTATATACAGGGTGAGATGAAAAAACTGATACCAATTTCAGACTGCTGTCATTACTAAGCCAAGTGTACAAAAGCTTTTTGGTGAGAATTTCACAGAAAAAAAGTCATTCGTGATGGAATTCAAGCGTGATAGTGTGATTTCTTTATATTTGGCTGGAAAACCACAAGTGGCTATTGTTAAAGCACTCCAGAATTTAAATGTTACCCTGATAGTGGTAGCGTAGACCGACGTCAAGGAAGTGGTCATGATCAGCATTAAATTCTAAGTCGATTCCCACATTATTTGAGGTAGAGCTTAGTACAACAATTTGTATTGTGTCTAGGATGGTTGGTATTGAAAATGAGATTTATCGGTCCACGTTTTGGAATAGCCGCCATATAACGGTACCTCCTGATATTCGGTATTTTGATTTTTTTTACGGATTTTGGTATTTGTAGGTAATATTGGGTTCTAGCTCCGTTGGCGAAACATCGTGTGTATAGGTCCACGTTTTTGTAAAGCCCGCATTTAACGGTACCTCCCTGTACCTGTGTATTGATGATTTTTGCCACATTTTCCCACGGATTTGTCTAAAAATTGGTATTTGTAGTTCATATCGAGTTCTTGCTCCGGCGGCAGAACATTGAAAATTTAGGTTCACGTTAGAGAGCAACGATAACGATACCTACCGAAACTCGGTATTTTAATAATCATAGTCACATTTACCCACGAAATTGTTTCAATTTTTGTATTTAAGAAGAGGTTATTAAAAGTTTGGAAAGGCCGAACTCAATGTTTTGTTACTTGTTTTTTTTTTTTAATGCAAGCCACACACGATACAATTGGTTGTACAACTTGGAGAGATTGTATCGTTTGTGGCCCGGTTGTACGAAGTAGTGTCCCGGTGGTACGAAAAATCAAAAAATTTTGATATTTGACATGTTGTATCAACCGATTGTAACGTTAGTGGGCATGTCGCATACAATTTCATTTTGTGTTTATTTCCAAAGAGGCAACACCATTGTTTCACACATCAAAACAAAACGAAATCCAATCAAATGTGTGATTTTAGTGTACATATAAAATTGAATTTTAATTTATAAAATGGAATTTCAAAAATTAATACGAAATAAAGGCTATTGAACAAATTATAGAAATGATTTTTTTCCGATGCCATCTTACTCGAATAAAATCTACGAAAAGTGAAGGTGTACAAAGAGGTAGTACACAAAGTTGTATCGGTTGTGGCCGAAGCATACAACTTTGCTACCCTCTAAGTTGTAACAACGGTTGTATCGTGTGTGGCTTGCATAAGACTTTTTTGATGTTTTTTTGTAGATATTTTCTTTTGTCAAAGAATTTGTTAGAAGATTATAAAGGTATGACTTTGGATTTTAAAGGGCTTTTTATAGAAGAAAATTAAATCGTAAATTTTTAATGAATTTTTTTTGAAGGTTTATCAGAGCTAAAATCGTATAAGGCCAATAAAAACTAAAAGGAGTGAAGAGGAACGTATTGCTCAAAAATAAAAAAAAATTAGAAGAAGTAAAAAAACAGTAAGTTCGGCCGGGCCCAACTTTGAATACCCTCCATCATTTAGAAGGAATTTGAAAATTTTTGAAAAAGATACCATTCGCCAAAAATTCTGTTAACATTTTAAAATACCGAATATAGCCGTTATTTTAGGGCCTGTACGACGTGCACCTATATAGGCATTGTTTGTCACAAGCCATTACCATATTCAAATTCGGATCTTAAAATAAACGCTGATAAATATAGCCAAAATCATCAAAATACCGTACATAGGGAGGTACCGTTATATAGGAGTTATACGAAGACCTTGACCTGTATAGACAATTTTCTGTCACAGGCTGTAGCTTCCATTACGAACTTCAAATACGACATCTCAAACCATTTCGGTGAGTATTGTAGCTAAAATCGTCAAAATACCGAATATAAGGAGGTACTGATATATGGGGCCTATACGAGGACCTGGACCTGCATAGGCAATTTTCTGTCACAGACTGTAGTTCCCATTACGAACTTTAAAAACATAACTTGAAACTACTATGGTCAATAATGACGCTAAAATCATCAAAATACCGAATATTGGGAGGTACCGTTGTATGGGGGCTATACGAAGACGTGGACCTGCATAGACAATTTTCTGCCTTAGGCTGTAGTATCCATATCGAACTTCAAACACCAAATTTTAAACAATTCCGGTGAATAATGTCGCTAAAATCATCAAAATACCGAATATTGGGAGGTACCGTTGTATGGGGGCTATACGAAGACGTGGACTTGCACTGACAATTTTCTGTCTCAGGCTGTAGTATCCATTTCGAACTTCAAATGCCAAATATGAAACAATTCCTGTTAATAATGTCGGTAAAATCATCAAATACCGAATATCGGGAGGTACCGTTATATGGGGGCTATATGAAAATGTGGACCTACATGGCCCATTTACGAACTTGACCTGCCTACTGGAAAAACAAACATGTGTGCAAAGTTTTAGCCTTCTATCTCAATTCGTTCGAAAGATAGCGTGATTAAAACAGACAGACAGACAGACGGTTATAAATCGTCTTAGAATTTTACGCTGGTCAAGAATATATATACTTTGTTGGGTCTAAGATCATTATTTCGATGAGTTACAAACGGAATTACAAAATGAATATACCCTCCATAGTATGGTGGAGGGTATAAAAATGCTTGGAATCTTTGTTTGAACAGATAGTACAGTCCATATTATTTAAGGTTTGAAGATTATTTGAGCTATTTTACCCAGTTTTTTAAAAAGACAAACAAAAAATCACCATTTATAATATGATCAAAGAATCAAAAGAATAATGAAAAAATAATTCAATTTTTTTCGCACTCGCATTTCGCCCGTTTACGCACATGACTAACTCCTCGTTCGAAAACAAGTGACAAGTTTTGATTGGTTGGCATTTTGTGTTTTTTTTTTTTTTTTTGTGATTTGTGTGCCAGCGATAATATAAACCAACACCTAACCACTACTTAAATACTCTTCAATTTTTAATATGCATTTGGCTGTCAGTGCGCCAGTGTGCAAATATGTATATTTACATACATATGCATGATGCTCGCCTTGCAGAAATGCATTTATCACATGCCAGCCATCACAATGCTACACCCTACAATTCAAATACACCCCGATAACAAAATGGTGGGACGAACCAGTCATTTGTCAAGTGTTCTAAATAGAGATGGCGAGATTTGAATGTATAGGGCGGTAGAAATGAAAATGCCAAGATAGATGAACAAATAAATACAATGAATTCTCAAGTTTCTAATTTATGAAGATGAAGATAAAGTAAACGATATGAAAATAAATATATATTATCGCCCAGACTTTTATTTTCATGTTCGGCATCCCTGCGAAGTATTTAGGTTTTCCTTCATTTGGTGAGTAAGCACTTATTCCGCCATTGTGTTAGCCATCCACATAGTAATGGCAGTGATTACCCACGTTTTGAAATACATTCGAATGGGTCGTGATGGCGAATTATCAAAGGAAATAATATGTATTTATAAAATTC